TGGCTTCAAAAAGCCAATTCAATACATCAAATCACTCAAAACTATTCAATCCGATTCATTCGACGGATATTCCAATTTCCTTGATCTCATCATTAGAATGTGAGCAATGAAGAATTTGTGCCCATGCGCTTGGACAGATTTCAAAATATTTTGAATGATTGACTAATGATATCTCACTGATTTGAGTCAAAACTGGTTCATAATTGGCGGTAAAAATATAGAAATGTCATTTCCATTCGCCGCACAGAACGTGAGAAAGAGTGACGAGAGAAGATTGTGTATGAACCTCCAATACAAGCTCACGCATTAGTTTACACTCACACAATCGCAGCAGCTACACTCAATGGTGTATCACCTCATCGCTGACAGTACGAAATCAAGTTCTTTTCGTCGGTGGCATTCAAAGTAGAAACACGTTCTATAGCATCGCTGCTACTGATACAATCATTTCCTATTGAAAAACACGAGTTTCCAAGCGCGTTTTTATTATTCAAAATCACAGTTGGATTTGATTTTTTGTGGTTTCATTTCTCATAAATTTTCCAATAAAATATAAATCATAAATTGATTTAGAAGCAACACTCGGTTGAAATCCGCAATTCGATACAAGAAAATGGTGAATAAAAATAGGTAAGTACATTGACACAATTGAATGCGTCGGCATAATCATAAGAAATATTCGATCTGTTCAATTTGAAAACAATTTTGATGACAAGATTTTCGCCGAGAGAATATTGCAAAAAAAAGTTTCAATTGAAAAAATCACGATTAGGATCACGGATTTTGAGACACTTTTTCTGCACAAAATAAACCTAACCTAACCTAACCTCAAAAATTTAGTTAACACATATTTGTATCTTTTCATTTAGGCGGTCGATAGAAATTGACACAAACGAAATTCATAGCTCAAATACTCCGTCTGGTTCGAATGACTTAGAAATGTCTTCAATCCGAAGCAATATTCATTCCGGCGATTCTTTCCAAATCAAGCAAGAAAACGACATCAAACAAGAGTCAGTGTCCGTCGGAGAATTGGTTGAGGTTTCGATATCGATTCGCAGTGGAATACATGTTCCTGGTTTCAACGAGCGCGATGATGTATACGATTTCGAACACTTGAACTTCGACGATGTTAAAGCCGATGTGAAGAAAGAATGTGACAACAAGAAAGAAGAAGAAGCTGAATGCGGCCAATTTGATGAGGAGCCACCACCCCAAGATGAAGACGATTCGCTGCAGCCAGAAAATGACAACAATGCCCAGGCTCACAACACAAAGAAACGAGGTGACAACACCCATGAAAATCCACGGGAGCGACATAAATGTGACTTTTGTGAATATTCCGCTTCTCGCAAGAGCTCATTGGATCGGCATTTGCTTAAACACACTGGCGAAAAGCCACATGGATGCGATTTCTGCCTGAAACGTTTCACAACCAAACATAATCTTCGTGTCCACATGAAAGTTCACGTCGAAGAGTTTCTGTTCCACTGCCAGGGCTGTTTGCAAGGATTCAACGAGAAAGACGAGAAGACAGTGCACGAAATCAATTGCAAGGCTCGTCATTACGAATGTCACCTGTGCAAGAAATCGATTGGATCAAACAGAACAAAAATGTTACAACACATGCGTGTGCACAGTGGCGTTAAACCTTTCAAATGCACACAATGTCCAAAGCAATTCGCACAAAAGTGCAATCTCAACAGTCACATGAAACTTCATGTTGGTCCATGCTCGTTCCGTTGCTTAAACTGTCACATGCGATTCCCACACCAAGACGAAAGAAATGCACACGAGGAAAAGTGTAATCGTCGTGTCTTCGAATGCTACGTTTGTGGCAAGTCATTTGGTTTGAGCAAAACCGATTTGATTCGTCATATGCGCACCCACTCCGGTGAAACCCCGTTCGAATGTCAACTTTGTTCGAAGCAATTCAAACAAAAATCCCATCTCAATCAGCACATGGCATCTCATACGAAGAAGCTTCCGTTCAAGTGTTCAATTTGTCGCCGAGGCTTTTCGATGGAAATCAAAAGAAAGGCACATCAACGTAACTGCAATCGACGGTGCTACGAGTGTCATTTGTGCAACAAGTTCTTCCACTCCTACAACACTTACTTGAAAGCTCACATGCATATTCATTCAGGCGAGAAGCTATTCAGTTGTAAGCTGTGTCGCAATACATTTACACTTAAATCAAGTTTGAAAACTCACATGAAAAACATCCACCACACCAAATACTAAACAACGCGCTTTGGTTGCATCAATCATTTCATCAAACCTTCAGTTAAAGTAAACTTGCCATCAGATCAAGTGCATTGCCCAGAAAACACAAACAGAACCATAAGAAAATCCAATTATTTCAATCATTCAATGTCCAAACTACATTCAAAAACTCATACTTGATGGATCAATTCGAATCATATTTAGTTTTCATCATAAATCGTTGGAATTCAGAAGAAAATCTGGTAAAATCTCTTCCGAAGGAACAATTCGGTTGGATTCATAGCAAACGAATGGATTATTTTGACTTTAATAAAGAATTTGCAAAACTAATACGAATCTGCATTATTTCATTCTCAACTGGTGCAATCTCAATGACTTCAATCGAAAACCTTGACACTTCGTTCGCCATACGAAACCGTTGACAGGAGACGTCTATGCATTCACTTTCAATGTGTGCGTTTCATCGCTTTGCACTCACACAATCGTAATAAGCATTTTATTCACTGTGTCGTCGCTGACAGTGTGGACGTTTATTCTTTTCGTCGGTGACAATCGAGACGAGCACACGTTTCACAGCCCCGCTGCTGCTTTCGAAGCAATTTTCACTCACAAGCCAACACAAGTACATTTCGATTCAACGCAACCAGAATAGGATTTACTTTGTTAGTTAATTAGCTGTTTGATCACTTTTGAAGTACACCAAATCGACTTGTGAGCCACCATCAAAAGTCAAATGGAATCATATAGCATAGAATCAGTGGAAAATATGGAAAATAAGAAGAAGTAAGTACATTTCGACGTTTCATTGATGAGTATTGAGTAGCCAGTGTATTTTGATAACATCAATATTTGGATTGGTCTAATGAAATGCAAAGTTGCTTATTTTATTCATCGTTCGCACAAATCGCAATTTAATCATTTCGATGAACTGAAATTCAATAGAAAAAATTTTGGAAAATAATTTGATAGGTGCACTGCTAAGACATGATTGCAAAGTTTCTTTTGAACAAACAAACCTAACCTCAAAAGTGCTCTGTTCTTTGTTTAAAATGTCAAATTCTTTGCATTGAATTTTAGGCCATCAGAAGTCGAAACGAACGAAGATCATAGCTCTGGTGCTCCATCGCAATCGAATCGTAAGATGATGCTTTCGAAACAGAACAGATTTCAGCCAATTGGTCCGAACGAAATCAAAAAAGAAGGCGATATCAAGCAAGAGCTATTGTCTGTCGGAGAATTGGTCGAGGTCTCAACATCGAATTATCGCAATGGAAGACAGGTTCCTGGTTTCAACGAGTGCGACGATGAATATGATTTCGATGTCTTAAGTTTGGACGAGGCGAAGATCGAAGAGAAGAAAGAATCCGACGACAAGGAAAAAGAAGAACCGAAAAGAAATGCCGACTCTGAAGAAGAAGCTGAAGACGGCCAACAAGATGAAGTTGATTTGATGCTGGCAGAAAATGACCAAAACGCTTCGGTCCACAACACACCGAAACGAGATGATATTCTCAAAAATTCACAAAAACAGCATGAGTGCAATATTTGCGGATATTCTGCTTCTTATAAGAGTCTATTGAATCGACACATGCTCAAACACACCGGCGAAAAGCCACACGGATGTGATTTATGTCCAAAGCGCTTCAAGAGCAAGCAACATCTCCATAGCCACATGAAAGTGCATGTCGAAGAGTTTCTCTTCCATTGTCCGGTCTGTTTGAAAGGATTCGACGAGAA